CGCTCACCTTCCCAAAGTTCCAGGGTGTGGAGGTGATGAAGTCGCAGGAGCCCTGGTAGATGAGGCCGTGCTGGGACAGGACGTACTCGCTGCGCTCCTCCTCGTCCCGCAGGAAAACCACGTCCTCTGCGGGAGAGCGAGAAGTGGGGAGGGGGCTCTGCCTGCGCCCCCCGCACAGCTCAGGGCTCCCCCCCCGGGGCTGGTGGGAAATGGGGACACGGGGGCGGGAATGTCCAAAAACACTGCTGGAGGATTCCAGCCCGGTTTGATTTGAGCTGCTGGGAAATGTTCATGTGCTGTGGTTTTCTTTCCCATCCCTCCTCGTTCCTCTCTTTCTTTCCTCCCTTTTGTTTTAGGGAGCCGGGTCTTTTCCCAGGGGGGAAGGGGGCGGTGGGAACGGGGAGCCCTGGCTGAGGTCGCAGCTGAAGCCGCTCTGCTCGCACAGCAGCAACGGCTGCAAAAATCACAATTCACTGGAAGCGTCCTCAGAAAAACCCAACGTGTGCATCCCCAGCGCCAGGGCTGGCCCGGGGCGAGCGGAGCTTCCTAAAGCCCTTATCTCTCATCCCTTATCTCTGCGCGGTTTCCAGGAATTCGTGGGGTCAGAGCAGGGCTGGACAGGGGGAGCTGGGGGGAACAGGGGGTGCAGGCCAGCTCCAGCCGCTCCCCAGGGCAGAGGAAGGACATGGGGACATGGAAATCCCAGCTGTGTCTGCTCATGGTCGTTACACCCCGCAGCACAGACCCTGCCCGAATTTCACCCAGGGCTGATGCCGAGCCCGCAGCTGGGTGCCTGGGGCAGGTAGGGGTAATCAGAGGGAATTAGGAGCAATTATTTAGGGGATTTTAGGGGCTTTTCCTCTGCCTGCTGCTCAGTCAGGAGCTGCTGCTGGAGGGGTTACACCAGCGGTGAGCTCTGTGGGGCACTGTGTGGTGGGGGTATCCTGTGAGGGAGTTTTGGTTGTTTGGGGTGCTGGTGAAGGGGCTGTGTGTGTTTTGGGGGACTTGGTGCTCATAGCCCTGCCCTGGGGTGTGTGTGGAGGTGGAAGCAAAGTGAGGATTTTTGGCTTAGACCTGAGCGCAGGGCAGGATTTGGGGTGAGCAGAGTTGGAGGGTTTGTGCTCCTCTCGCCTGGTGAGCCCCGGTGCCGGGAGGATGAGGCCTCACCTGGGTGCCAGGCGTTGAAGAGCAGCACGAAGTCGCCGAGGCGGTGGCTGGAGCCCTGGTACCCGGTGGAGGTCTCCATGGTCAGGCTGTAGCGGCCGACGC